AAAATTAAAAATTAGTAATTGAATTAAGAGTTTATAACATACACCTGATGACGGCTCTACGAAAGCCGAAACATGTCGAAAAATGTTCCATATGTAAATCGAGTACTCGATACGGAACAAAGGATAATATTTTAACCATTTAATTATCTTATATTACTTTATTGTGATTGACGGACAATTTTAATATATTTTAATACTATTTTTAAATAAAATCACAATATGACGCACCTACAATATCTTTTAAATATAATATCCACGAGTAAAAGTTTAATTTACTTTAAGACACAGCACTGGGTGTCATTATACTTAAATTAATATTAACAACACAACAGCTCTAAATCATAACCCGCCGAAAACTGCCGACGAACGAGACATCGGCCAACAAAATTCACGTGAACTGGGCACTCGACAAGTTCAGGTCAGGTCACCAGTCGAAATTTCCTCCCATTCTCTTTCTGTTACAAACATTTCCCCGCTAGAATTTGGCAGTTCTGTCACACACACGCATTTAATCTAAGCAATATTTCGTAAAGACTCAGTGTTACAATTTAAAAAGGAAACGCGCCTCCATCAAACATCAGATGATTAATAATTTTTGAGGGAAAAAAATTACTCTAAGAATTATATGATAACCACAGATATATTGGGTATACAAGAAAATGGGGTAATCCGTTACAGGATATTTCTCATATCTCACCGGCCTCGACGTTCGTGTACTGCAAATACAATTTTCTTGCTTGAAAACCAAATAGCGTTAAAAACACCGAGATGTTTGATCCTTATATTACGTTACTGACCTTTACACCAACATTCACAATAACAAAGAATCGTGTTCTGAATATTATCATCTTAGAAATAAACGGACTGCAAAACTGACCTGCCAAATTCAACGCGATACGAAAGAACAGAAAAAAGTATGACATGTAAAACATGGCGGGGTACAGAAAACACGGGAGCTGATATGTCACAAGAAGAAATGACATTGTACCATGTAAAGTGGTTAAAATACAGCCCAGTTAAGTTAAAAACGCTGTACTGAATTTCTAGCAGACAGCAAATAAAAGAACAATTCGTGTCCCACTGCCTTTAAAGTTGTCACAATATTCTGTAGAGCACAACCACAGACCACAGCAGGGTTATGAATAACGTTTCTCGAACAAATATAACAGGTCTTTATTTTACCGAGTTATATGTACTCCCGGGGGAGTCATTTGTTTAACTGCTACGTACTCCTAGTAACATGACCTCCCCTGGTCTCGTCTGGACTTTGCCTCCGACTGCGTGCGCTTTGAAACAAATTGCAGAAAGAATTAGTACTTTGATACAAAACAATTAAATCGCGTAATATAGTCTCGTTATGAAACACTAATATTATTTAGTTTTCTCTGCGTGTACGTCTGTACCAACGTCCTTACTAACATGTAAACAGATTGTATAGTATTTGAGTTTTTCACGGCGGTGAGTTTGAAGATGACTGTCTTCTTGTAAACAGACGGTTTGTAAGGCAATGTTAATATCAGGAAAGTGCATTTTAAAATTACACCCGAAATGTAAGCAAATATATATTTAAACAAATTAAATCATTTAACTTTTTTAAAAGCACAGTTCTCGTATGTCCAGTAGGGAAAATTTGTATCTTCAGCCAGGGAATATTTTTAATAAAACAGATTCTGTATTTCAATAAGCAAATCACTGTTGTTATATATCTCGTGAAACAATTAAAATATCCCACAATTCCTACCATAATGACATTTAACGGACAAATCGCTGTTGAACAAATGCAATCAATACTAGATAACAAAAAGCTATTGTCTCCTATGCACATGGCCTCAAATCGTAACCGATTTCTGTAATTGCAATTCAAATTACCACGCCACCTAACTAACATTTCAGACCAGAGGATGAATAGCTGGGCGATTTTCAATTAGTTCACAATTGAATTTTACCCCTGGTACTTAGCCGTCACGAAACTCGTGCGAGTGTCCACGCGTTCGTGATAATGGCTGCCACGGTTTCAGTAACGAGGTTTTACTTAGGGAGGTAACTTGATTCTACAATGTGTTTGCCGATTTAATTACATGGCTTCGTGCTAGTGACAAGACTTCCCTAACAGCGTCTAAACAAACGGATAATTGAGGGGTTTGCAG